TAGTCCAGTAGCGCCGCTCCTTGGCGCTACTGGAGCAACCCAGCAGCACCCCATCTGCTCTGCCACAGGCGTCCGGAGAAAAGCCTAGTCTGCTGGGGGGGAGGGGCGTACTAGCTGCGCCCTCCCCCCCCACCTCAGCAGAACAGGAAGACGCGGGCAGCGGACCGAGAAGCACTGCGGTCCCGCCGCCTGGGACCAGGGACCAGCAGACCAGGGAGACGGGGAGCAAAGCCACTGAGGACGCCAGCAGCGGGACAGCCGCGGGGCGGCCGGGGCTTCCTCGAGGCTTTGCAAAGAGACGCGGAGAAAGCCCTGGAGTACACGGGCGGCAGGACCGCTAGGTCCCGCAGTCCGTGTCCTCCGGGGCGAGCCCCGTTCGTAACTGCGGCTCCGACATAAGTCAGATCCGACATAAGTCGGGGACTGCCTGTATTGCGTCCAGTTCTGGGCACCATATTTCAAGAAAGATGTGGAGAAATTGGAGATGGTCCAGAGAAGAGCAACAAGAATGATTAAAGATCTAGAAAACATGAGCTATGTGGGACAATTGATAGGACTGGGATTGTTTAATCTGGAGAAGAAGACTGAGAGGGGACATAACTGCCTTCAAGTATCTTAAGGGCACATCTAGACTACCCATGGCTTCTAAAAGATATGCAAATTAGGGGTAAAATTGCATATCTTCTTCCAATCCCTTTTTCGAAGAGTGTTGTGTGTGTGGTTCCCTCCCTCCCCTCCCCCCCGGAAAAAAAAAGCAGTCTAGATGGGGTTTTTCACACAAAACCCCTTTTTCGAAAAAAAACTTCTTTCTAAAAAAAATGAGGTGTGCAGGGTTCTTTCAAAAATGGTGGTTTTCACACGAAAACCCCCGTCTAAGCTGTATTGTGGGGTTTTTTTTAACTCTTCCGAAAAAGGGATCAGAAGAAGATATGCAGATTTGCGCCTAATTTGCATGTCTTTCAGAGGCCGCGGGTAGTCTAGACATAGCCTAAAAGGTTGTTCGAAGAGGAGGGAGAACAACTGTTCTTAATCTCTGATAGGACAAGAAGCCATGGGCTTAAATTGCAGCAAGGGAGGTTTTTAGGTTGGACATTAGGAAAAACTTCCTAACTGTCAGGTTGGTGAAACAGTGGAATAAATGGCCTAGGGAGGTTATGGACTCTCCATCACTGGAGACATTTAAGAGCAGGTTAGACAGGCATCTGTTAGGGATGGTCTAGCTCGTGCTTGGTCCTGCCATGAGTGCAGGGGCTGGACTTGAAAATCTCTCGAAGTCCCTTCTAGTTCTATGATTCTATGAAAACCAGTCTTTGTATTTTAAAAAGCAGGGACAAATAGAAAGGGCAAGAGAAACAGTAATTAATCTTTCAGGGAATTAATATGTAAAGCACACTATTGGAAGTTTCCTTTTTTAGATTCAACTGTCATCATCTAGCAATGTTAGTTGTAATACAGTTGATTTATCTACTATTCTTTCTCCAGAGTGTCAGCACCTGTACTACTTATAAGTCAGGAAATCTGGCTGTAAAAAGTGGAACAGACATGGTAATGACAAATTGAATGGGGTTCAGAGAAGATCCATAAGAATGATTAATACCAAACATGCTTTGCTAGTGATAGACTCAAAAAGCTCTATCTATTTATCTAGATAAAGAAGGTCAAAGACTTGATTAGTCTAGAAGAACCCACCTTGGGGGAATAATTTTTTGCTAATGGGATCTTAAGTCTGACAGAGACTAGTATAGTGTATAGCAGGGGTGTCCAAACTTTTTTCAAAGAGGGCCAGATTTGATGAAGTGAACATGCGCGAGGGCCGACCATTTTGCCTGACATTCTTTGAACCATTAAAATTAAATGCAAATTAACTATTTTATGCAAAGTTTATTGCAAACGGCATACTTTTCATTTCGTCACATGGATGACAAATCTAAACAGGTGTTAAATCACTCTGCCTTTCATATCTGAAGGCCAGATGAAAAAAAAAATCCAGGAAGCTGAAATATATGTCAGGAACATTGTAAAGTACATTACATATTATTGGTAATAAAGGTTGTCTGTCAACTTTTAAGTTCAAAAAATATGAACAGGAACATAACACCAAGTATACATGTTGTGTCCAAATATATTTATAACTGATTTAGACCAACTGACTTTAACTGAGATTTTACAATGTATTCATCTCAATACATATGGATTCATTGGGGGCCATAAAAGATAGATATTGCCAAATTACCCGTGGGGCCGTATTAAACCGGAACACGGGCCGCAATTGGTCCGCGGGCCGGACTTTGGACATGCCTGGTGTATAGTATAGCATAGCATAGCATAGTATAGTATAGTATAGTATGATCCAGTGGCTGGAAGTTGAAGCTGGAGAAATTCAGACAGGAAATAAAGGGTGAGTTTTTAAAGTAAGGATAATTAACCATTGGAATGATTTATCAAGCATTGTGGTGGATTTTCAGTCCCTTTGACAATTTTTAAGTCAAGATGGGATGTTTTCCTAAAAGATCTACTCTAGGAATTATTTTGGCAAAACTCTCTAGTATTTTGTTATACAAGAGATCACAGTAGATAATCGAAAGCCCTTCTGGCCTTGGAATCAGTGTTCTCTGGCTCCCTTGGTTTTATTAAGTGCTTGCTCTTCTGTAAAGTTTTTGTTATGCCAGATCTAGCTGCAGTCAAGTTTTAATTAATGGGGTAGTAAATTTAGGGTCTGATTTAAAACAAAACTTAAAAAACCTATTCTAGATTTTGTTTTTAATGCAGACTTTAGCAGATCAAATCATCACACTTCATGTAGTGTGGATAGAGTTTGTGTGTATGTATGACAAGGTGAATACTCTTCTTTGTCAGTAACACTTAAGAAAACATTTATATGCAATGTCTCAGTGGTGTGGCTGAAAACTATTTCTGTGTTCTCTCTAGGCTCTCTTGGAGCAAGATATTTTCCATCGTTCCTTGATGGCATGTTGTTTGGAGATTGTGCTATTTGCATATAGTTCACTGAGAACTTTCCCTTGGATTATTGAGGTTCTTGATCTCCGACCTTTCTATTTTTATAAGGTAATCATAAACATCCTATTCAAGTACTTGCATCTGAATTATAACCTTTTAAAATATCTTTCTTTACTATTAGATTGAGAGTCCTAGATGATGAAGCCCTCTGTTCCTAGGTTAGGGTTAGCAGAGGGGCTAGTGCTGACCTGCAGCAATCACTCAAAGGAAAATGGTTACCTAGCTTTTGTAACTGTTGTTCTGCGAGATATGTTGCTCATGTCTATTCCAAATGCCACCCGCCCCTCCTCTGTTGGAAAGCTGGCAAGAAAGAACTGAGGGCTGGTCAGGCATTCTATATGGCCACTCCAGGGGGCTCCACCGCCGGCCCGATGGGTCCTGCTAGGGGAAAAAACCTTTTGCCAATCATGCACATTCCTATGGGAGTGGACGAACACATCTCAAAGATCAGTTATAAAATGTAAGTAACCATTTTTTGCAGCAATAACTTCCTACACAGCCTTTGTACACACTGTCTTTTGTAGTGCTCATCTTCTGAGCTTTCCCTCATGCTACCTGTTCCTCCCAGTTACTGCCGATTGTAACAGTAGTCAAGGAATTACCACTCAGGTTCTCATAATCCTCCTACAGAAAGTAGCTAATTATTCCCAGCAACGTCAGTGACCAGTGCGCAATGGCTAGCATTCTGTCACATTGGAGTAAAGGATGGCTGGTGTGTTTTGCTTTTAGCATGGCTGATGAAACTACCTTGTTCCCTTCAGGTGATTGAAGTACTGATTCGATCTGAGGAAGGACTCTCCAGAGACATGGTAAAGCATCTCAACAGCATCGAAGAACAAATTCTAGAGAGTCTAGCCTGGACCAGCGACTCTGCCTTATGGAAAGCTCTACAAGCCTCAGAAAACAAAGTCCCAACCTGTGAAGAAGTATGTTGACAAGCAGGCTCCTTCTCCAAGGCTGATATTTTCCAGGGGATATTAAACAAATGCAACAATTTACTCAGCATTGAAATAATTACAATAAAAACTAAGACATAGTATTCTCTGACACCATTTTTAATAATGGTATTTGGTATAAAGAGGCAAAGATTATTTATTCTTAAACTGGCATCTCTTATATCCTAGGTAATATTCCCAAGTAATTTTGAAGTAGGTAATGGCGGAAGTGGGCTAGGGCACCTCCCAATGATGCCCGTATCTCCTATTGTGCACCCTCGGGTGAAAGAGGTTCGCACAGATCTTGGTGGGAGTTTACGGCGGGGTAAGTTGAGAGCTTCTGATGTGTTTGTGGTATATAGTATTTCAAACCATTCATAGTAATACATAGAGAAATCCTGGGTGACTTTGTACTGTTTGCTGAGAATCTTAGTCACTTGTCTTTTCAAACTTTCTGTATGAAAATCTCTTCTCCTGAAGGGAGGAGGTCTTCATTTTTTTCGAGTGCCTAGGAGACCAAACATTGTCAGTCCAATGAAACTGGTTGGGAGCAGTGGAGAAGGAAGCAATTGAAGGAGTAGAGAACATATAGTAGCACCTGTGTATTATGGTGATACTGTTCTGTCAGTTGAATTCTTGTGATTCTAATTTGCGTGTTCTACCTTGGGGACTAGCAGTTCTTTCATTCTGGATATTTCCATTAAACTACTGCACATTGTTGTGATGGTTTTTTCCTCTTTCACATTAGACATGCAGCCATTGTCACCGATCTCTGTTCAAGAGCGCTACAGTTCTCCTACAGCGGGAAGTGCTAAGAGAAGGCTCTTTGGCGATGATAGCCCAAAAGAAATGCAGGTAGAAAAGGTTCTATCTGAAGGAACTAAGTTAAAAATTGCTTCAGGCATTGCAGCTGAAAATGTGTCTGTCTCACCGGGACAGACATTGTTGACAATGGCAACAGCTACTGTAGCAGGGACAATGGGACAAAAACTTACGATCCCGCTGCATGGTAAGATATTTACTCATCTTCCTTTACTGCACATTATGATGGTGTTGAATGCATTACTATTTCTGGGGTTGATTATCAGAAAGACTGTCATGAGATCCCTATTCCTGTGATCTCTGAGCTCTGCCTACAGGTTGGGTACTGCTTCTAAGTCATCGAAGCGTAATACACATTTGCATCTACTTATTGTAGATTTGGTTCTTTGAGATGTGATGTAAATACGCATTTCATGACTCACCCTCTGCCCCTCTCTATTGAAATCTCCTTTGGTGGGATTTCAGTATGAAGGAACTGCGTGAGGCTGGAGAGCAGTGCCACCTCATTATAGCCGGGGAGGGGCCACTAGACACAAGCTCTGCCTCTCTGTGGCTACTGCTGGGCAAGAGTCTCTGGCTGCAATGTGCTGAGCATGCATACGCTTAACTGAAGTGCATGTCTGCATCCCATTTTGAAGAACCACAGCGACAGTAAGTAACTGTTTTGTTCAAGGGACATTCCGTTCTAGTTCACTGTAAACGTGTCAGTTTCAGAATATTTGTTTCTGATTATGCTTTTTAATTAACCAGGAACTCTTGGGGGCGTTTCTAACATAGATACAATTTTAAAAAAAATTTCTCCACTTTGATGCTTGAGAGAGAACCTGGTAACCCAGGAGAGAAGTGAAATTGACTATTCACTAAGTAGTGTCAAATGCCCAAAGTAAACTGGAAAAAAATAAGAGGTTTCTAGCTTTTAGTTATAGGAATATTTAATGTTTCTTGTAACTCTTGTACCAATAGTTTGACAGAAGTGTGATCTTTCACATTGATAGTATCGCTCCCAGGAAGTATTTTCAAGAATGTTTCTGTGAATTATGCTTGTCTTTGCAATGACACTATTCAGCTTAGCTACAAAATAATGTGTTTCTATGTATGTCTTCAGGAATTACAAACGAGACTGGAAGGATCACTTTGATTCCCATTTCAGTGAATTTATCTCAGCAGTCTAAAGTAGAGAATCATGGACAAGTACCTCTCACTGCTCAGGCTTTAATTAGTGCATCTCCAAACCATTCCTCTATGAATCAAGCAGAGGAAGCACATCT